TTTTTTTTTCACTTTTAATGCTGCAAACTGAGCCTCCCTCCTCTCCCTCTTGGATCCGCCAACGGCTATGAGTAACATTTTGGAAACTGAAGGGCGGTGCCTTTTGATATACGGTGACTTATGCCGTGCCTATTGGTGGGATACGTAAGATGCATGACTGCGATTGAACCAGCAAATTACCTTGGCAGCAATCCTTAGATAATGTTGTGAGGGTAGAAGAAAAAATAACTACATTCGTCCTACTACTCTGTTTCTTTCCCCTACGCTTTTTCTTTTTGCGCCTGTTGAAAATGAGCAAATTTTTTTATCCTTCAGAAGCAAAAATTTCTAAAAATGTGTTTTTGCAGCTATGAACTTCTGGATGGCCCCCCGTTTGCGAATGGCGACGCTCACGTTGGCCATGCAATTAATAAAATTTTGAAAGATTTTATTGTTCGCTGTCAGATTTATCGAGGCAACCGTGTTCTCTATCGGCCCGGATGGGACTGCCATGGACTTCCAATTGAAATGAAAATTGCAAAAAACACTCAGCAAGTCAGTCATTTTGGAAGTTTTTTTTTGATTGCGTGTTTTGCGTTCTCTTTATCCTTCGATTTTGTGGTCGAAGTTCAAAACTTCCCTCTGGCACTAATGATGTATACCACATGTGGCAGATATCGCAGATAGCTAATGATTTTGGCCGTGAACCCAATCAGACAGAAAAAGCAAAATGGTTAATCTTGTCTAGTTTATCTGTTATTTTTTTTGCTCCCGGGGGAGGGGTGGATTTATGTAGCTTGACTTTAAAGCGACACTTTTCAACTCCACTGTGTGTTATTGGTTTTGTTTTCTGGAGGTGATACGTAAAAAATCTTGCTTGCGGAAGTGTTAGCGGTGGAATAACGCTTTTTAGGCCTCAGCAAATTTCAAAACATCCCTAATTTAAGTACTGCAATGATGACTGCATAAATGCCAAAATAAGGAATTGCATTGGTCATGTTACGAGAACATGAGAGACTACAGATGAACAAAGGAATCTGTGTTGAATAGCGTAGATGCAATATTAAAGGAACAAAAGCCACCAATGTGGGTTAGATGGATCTAGGTTGAAAGCCTATATACGTAAATAAGAGAGGTTCAAAATCGGGAAAATAATGGAGAAATTACCAGTTGCATCAGCAGTGGCGAAAAAAAAAAAAACGGCGATGAAATGAGTAAAGAATTTGCCCATTAAATTTTTCACAACTCTTCTGGCGCGTACTTTCCAGTATGAAGTTTTTGCAGAAAATGTCACCGATTGATATACGTAAAACAGCACGACAAATAGCTCTTCATTCAATTGCTCGACAACAGAATTCATTCAAACGTTGGGCTGTTACAGCCGACTGGGCAAACCCGTATTTTACAATGAACAAGCATTATGTTGCAAACGAACTTAGGCTATTCGGCGAATTGTTTAGGCGTAACATAGTTTATCGAGCCTTTATGCCTGTCTTCTGGTTAGTTTAGTTGCTAATTATTATGCTGTTCCTTAATTTTTACGAATTAACCTCATACTTTCTTTGAATAACTGTTTTTCTCATTTCTTGCATTTTCTCTCTCCATTGATGAAGCTAGCGATTTCTGCAATTTTTGCTTTGGGCTTTTCTCATCTACATAATTCCGCATAGGTATCAGGAGGATGAGGGAGGGGGGGAGGGAGGGGGGAGATGGAGGAAGAGAGAGGAGGAGAGGGAGGATGGCCTAAGGAGAGGGGAAGGTGGGAGGGGAAGAGGGTGATCTTTCTGTCGCATTGACAAGTCTTGGTGTTTTAACTTTGCTTTGGTACCATTCAGCAATCCCTTTTGTTCATT